AGTGTGCCGTCCCTTGGGCTGTATCGCTGGATTAAAAACATTCTGCCAAGGTTGACAGAATGTTTTTAATCCAACAAAACTGCCCAAGGGACTGCCAGCCATCACAGCTTTGCTCAAGTTAATCAAACAAAGGAAGTTAAATGATAACTGGGGATCGACTGGTCTGGAGCAAATATACAGCGTATGGGCAATATTAAAACATCGTCAGTACCACAAGTTAACACTTTCAGTATGTGACTGTTATCTATGATAGTGCATGGTACAAGTGCATGGAACGACTCAGCAATGTTAGTTCCAAGAGTAATCTAAGATACACAACATAAAATCCAAGCCAAGGGAGCAATAGAACTGCAGAGATAGCAAGGAAATTAACAAAGAAGCTGCTATAAGGAAGAGCAAAGTAAGATGAACTACTCGAGGCTGACTTTGATTAAATGCAGATCATTAGGCTGAGGCTTCTTATTTGAGCCATGTTTGATGAGAAAGTTGTGCAGAAACACTAGGAAAAGCTCCCAGTTTGGGCAGCTAGTCTGTCCGGGAACCTCCTCAACCTCAGTGGTTGAAGGAGTCACGAATTCACTTGCCATGTGGGACCTTAGCGATTGTCAGGGCTCTGTGATTCAAGTTTAATGACGTGTATGATTTGCTGGCGTTTTGGCTTAGTGGTTGTGTAAATAAACCAGAGAGATAGCATGATTATAGCTGTGTTTGAAAGCAGAACTTGCATTTTCCTGGGCAAATACAACAGCTGTCTGTACATGATAAGAACTGGAAGTGAGCCACTCTTTGCTGGAAATATTTTTCTGGCTATGTGAGGCTTGAGTCCAGGCTAGATAAAAGAGCCAGCCCCCAAAGCTTTAGATCCTCGGCTTATGCCCTGCTGGTCTCAAGAGAGCAGTAGTTACTGCAGTCATTATTTAAGTCCTTATAAACACTAAAGACCTAGAAATGTCCTTCAGGTGCTCCAAAACCTATAAAGTCAAATCATATTCACCCTCGTGTATGTCAAAAAGAAACAACACAGACATACTTTGAAAGTCTTTACCTCCACTCTGTAGCATTTTCCATCAAGACCTCAAGCTGGTTTTACTGATTTGTGGAGCGAGCCCAGGCTGCTCTTAGCATGACATGCCAATTACACGGCTGTAACCTTTTGGTATGTGAACACCATCAAACCTGCAGGAGCTGCTTTGGGGCTCTTTAGGGTCAAGTCTTAACGCACATGTATATGTCTAAATACATTTGACATTGTTGCTGAACATTCTTGTTCTTTCTTTTCACCTTCTAAGCTGTATCGCCCAGTTTTCTCTTTTGTTCTATCGGGACTGATTCAAAAGGCAGAAGGAGAAGAGTAATCTTTATTTAAATAGAATTAAAAGAGATTGAAGATAATTTAGAGTATTAGATCCAAGTTCTCAGTTAGTTTTTAACAATGCTAATATGATTATTTTTAGCTTGTGGAAAGTATTACAAGACTTTTGAGAGCAAGGTTTATAGGTTCTTGCTTTTCAGTGAGTTAATCATGTAATACAGATGGCGTAAACAAGCTTCTATTGTCTTTTTTTGACTGTCCCATTCCAGGCTTAATTGACTTCTCATTGGTGATGTTATCTAACCCACAAGCCTACGCACCTCTCTCTCTGTTCAGTGTTTACTTTTTAGAGTATAGTATTGTTTTATATTCATTTTATTTTGTTTGTTCTTTTTAAATGTACTTTTACACTTAAAAGTTTCCAGTGTAATAAAAATTTGATAATGGTAGCATAACAGCTTAACAATAACTGGATATGAATGACTTGAGGTTATATTACATGACAGTACATTCCTAAATCTTGGAATCTTGGAAGCTCACTTCTCTTGACAACTTTAAAGAAAAGCAGATGTGAAATA